TTATTGTTTCGTTTGCTTTGTTTGTGTCACAACGAGAGTTGGGCATAACTTTGGCCACACACAATTGCACATAATTGTTGGACCTTGAGAAAGGGTAATTTATTTTGGGAGTTTAATTCTTGATTATTGCGCATCGAGTGATGGTAGTAGTTAGGAATTTATGATTGGGTGTTTAAGCCACGAGAGTGGAAATTCACTAATGTTAGTGACTACGAGAGTAGCTCTATACCACATTGCACCCTCACACTTGTTAAACTCAGATTTTAATATTGTCCTTAAGATTTGACACTAGGTGATTAAATACTTGAATCTCAGGAATCTCATCTTCTCCCTAATTGTTTTCAAAATCCTGAATCTCTGCTTTATTTTATTTATTTTATGCAAATCAATCATCTAAACAATTGTTAGGATTAGCTCTAATGAATAAATTAGTAACTAGTGCTTGATACAATCACTTCTTTGTGGATCGATAACTCGTACTCTGAGTATTATTTGTTTGCAAATATTACGCATCATAAGGAACGAAATGCCCTATTCCTGCGATTGAAGAGGATGCGTTGTCCTGGTTCTCAAAATGGCTTTCTCATGCAACTATGGACAACAAGCTCAAATATATTGCTTTATGTTATTGCATTTGGAGGTGTCGTAATGAGGTAGTGTGGAATTCGAAACCTTGGCAACTTTCTGGTGTTAAAATTGAGGCTGCTGATGAGTTGTGCAGAAAACACACTAAAGTAAACATTGAAAAGATGAATGAAAGATCTGGTAATTCAATGTAACAGTGTTCATGCTTACAATGTTGAGAAAGGAAAAAGAAGTTCAGAAGAAGAAGAAAATCAGTCAACACTGCCTTTTAGTACAAGTGTAACTAACTAAGGATTAGAAAAAGACAAGTATGCCCCTGTTTATTTCATCACCCCCCCCCCCCCCCCTCCCTGGTAAACTGGAGCATGAATGTCATGAAGGCCAAGCTTATCATGGAAAATGTCAAACAATGGCTTAGGCAAGGCCTTAGTGAAACCATCTGCCACTTGCTGATTTGAAGGAATATTCATGAACTTAATCACCCCATCATTAACCTTTTGCCTTACCACATGACAATCGATTTCGATGTGTTTCGTACACTCATGAAACACATGGTTCTCCCCTATAGCAATAGCAAAACGATTGTCACAAAAAACAGTAACAGGACTGGTTGAAGTTGCTCTCAAATCTGCTAGTAAATAGATAAGCCACTGAATTTCACACACTGTGGAGGCAAGGGCCCTATATTCAACTTCGGATGAGGATCTTGATATAGTGGCTTGTTTCTTGGTTTTCCAGGAAATGAGGGAATTCCCAAGGTAAATGCAGTACCCTGTGACAGACTTCCTAGTCTCAGCACATGTTACCCAGTCTGAATCAGAAAAACCTTGGAGCTTGATTTGAGACTTGGAAGCGTAGAACAAACCTTTGCCTGGTGATCCCTTGATGTATCTCAATACCCTGTGAGCTGCAACCAAATGAACATCTCTTGGTGTATCTACAAACTGGCTCAACTATTAGACAGCAAAGGTGATATCAGATCTTGTATTGGTCAAATACAAGAGCTTTCCAACCAACTTCCTGTAAATTTCAGGATTGTCAAGCAGCTTTCTTTCAAGATTTGTAAGTTTTTGTCCTATGATGCATGGTGTCTTAGTAGGTTTGGCATCCAGAAAACCACTTTCTTCAAGAATCTCTAAGGCATATTTTCTTTGGCACAGACTGAGGCCACCTGGAGTCCTCAAGGCTTCAATCCCCAGGAAATAATTCAGCTTTCCCAGATCCTTTATTTTAAAGGATGTGTCTAACAATTGCTTCAACTCTTGGATCTGGACAGAGTTTGTACCTGCCACAAGGATATCATCTATATATACAAGCAAAGCAAGGTAAGAATCAGTTGTAGACTTGGTAAACAGTGAAGGATCAGCAGTTGACTGTTGGAAACCATAGTTTTGCAATGCCTTTGTGAGTTTGGCATTCCATTGTCTACTTGCCTGTCTTAAACCATATAAAGACCTCAACAATTTGCAGACTTGATTGGGCTTATCACTTTTAAATCCTGGAGGTAGAACCATATAGACTTCCTCATCTAGATCCCCATGTAAAAAAGCATTGTTGATGTCAAGTTGCTGAACATCCCATTCTTTGGCTACTGCTATTGCTAGGAAAGTTTTGATGGTTGCCATCCTAGCTACAGGAGAAAAGGTTTCAAAATAGTCCACTCCCAACTGTTGAGTGTAACCTTGTGCAACTAATCTTGCCTTGTACCTCTCAATAGACCCATCAGCCTTGTGTTTTACTTTATAAACTCATCTACAACCAATTGGTGTTTTGTCTTGAGGTAGATCTACCAGAATCCAGGTGTTGTTTTGAACCAAGGCCTCTATTTCAGAATTCATAGCTTGTCTCCAAGGTCCAAACTGTATAGCTTCATTGTAAGATTGTGGCTCATGTGTTGTGGTAATGGAGGTAATGCATGCTTTATAATTAGGTGGTAATTTGTCATAAGAAATGAACTAGCTTATAGGATGGGGAGAAGTCCTCATACCTGAGCTGTTTCCCACCATGCTGTGACAGTAGTAATCCAACAACTTAGTGGAAGCTTGTCTTTGTCTGGTAGATCTTCTGAGATGTATTTGGTTTTCTGAGTTCTGTGGAGAATGATGGTCAACAATCAACTCATTTTGCCCTGCATTACTCAATTCAACAGGTTCAACAACTGGAACTGCAGCTGGTTCATCAACTGACTCAGTGGGATGCATATCCTGTCTGTCAACAACCTGATCAACACCAGACTCTGGATTTCTGTTCTATACTGCTAAAGTTCTCATTGTGTTCCAAAATGGTTTCTGAACCTGTGGAGGTGGGGATTAAGGGTAATGAAGGATTAAGAACATGACTATCAACACTTTCAAAGTCAGTTCCTAAAGCCTGTTTTCTGAAGGGATAGGTTTTCTCAAAAAAATTCACATCCCATGATATGAAAACATCTTTATCAATAATATCATATAAGATATAGCCCTTCACATTAGCTGGATAGCCCAAAAATATGCATTTTCTTGCCCTAGTCTGCATCTTATTTCTTTCTTGTGAAATGGTTGCCCCAAAACATAGGCAACCAAAGGATCTCATCTGCCCATAATCTACACATTTCCCAGTTAACATCTCAAAAGGAGTCCTTCCACCAATAACTTCAGAAGACAATCTATTAATGAGAAAAGAGGCATGCAACACACAATGCCCCCAGAATTCAATAGGCAACCCTGCATGAAAACTCAAGGTTCTAGCTATATTTAAGATATGTTGGTGTTTCCTCTCTGCTACTCCATTCTGTTGTGGAGTATAAGAACATGATTTCTGATGAATAACTCCTTTCTCATCTAGAAAGGCTCCCATAAAAAATTCACTTCCATTGTGTGTTCTCACCATCTTAATTTTGGTTGCAAATTGAGTAGACACATAGTTATAGAATCTCTGGAATTTGGCTTTGACTTCTGACTTACTTTTCAACAAGTGCAGCAAGGTGAACCTACTAAAATCATCAACTATGGTTAGAAAATAATGTTCTCCTCTCAAAGATGCTATATTAAAAGGTCCCCACACATCCATATGCAACAAATCAAATCTTTTCTCAGCTCTAGAAATACTAACTGGGAAATTAGACCTCTTATGTTTACCAAAATGACAGGCACCACAAACAAAATCAACATTTTTATTGACAAAAACAGACTTTATTCCATTCAAAAAGGGTATTCTGTTGACAGGATAATGACCTAGTCTACTATGCCAGACCTCAACTGTCACACTACTGCAGTGAATATCAGCATTTCTGTTCACAATCTCACTCTTCCTTTTTATGGGAGGGTCTTCAAGCAGATACAGACCATCCTTTTGCTTAGCAAAACCATCCATTACTCCATGAGTTCCCTGAATGGCACATGAATCAGCACCCATAACAAGCTTACAGTTGGACTCTTTAGTCAATTTACTAGCAAAAACAATGTTGAAAACAAAGGTTAGAATGAATAACACATTTTGAAGCATTATGTTTTCATCAAGCCTGATCTGCCCTATATGAGTAACCTTCACTGTCCACCATTTGGGAGTTTGACAGACAATCCATGGATTTTATGGTATTTTTCAAGGTAGTTTAGGGAGCATGTAATGTGATCAGTGGCACCTGAATCTAATATCCAAATGGTATGGGAATTCAAAACAGCACTAACAGAAGGATTATAAGTAAAGCTACCTTCTCCATGTATTCCCTCAGACCCTCTAAAGTCTAATCTGATCCCAGGGCTAGTCACTGTTACAGCAGCACTGCTTGAGGATTGATTTTCCTTGTTTTGATTCTGCAAAAGAAACAGTAATTTTTGAAACTGATCAGCAGATATACCTGTTTCCCAACTTGATTCACTGATGCATTTGAAGACTACTGTGTGCCTTGGTACTGCTTATTCTTAGTTTTATAGCCTGTTATCCATCTGGGAGGGTACCCATGCTTCTTGTAGCATTTCTCAACCGTGTGACCATTCATACCACAGAAGGTACACTTAGGTACACCTTTCCCTCCATTAGCATTGAATTTCTTCTTATTGTTAAGATTTGCAGATGCTACAAGAGACTGTTCTTCCTCTGTATGATTCTGAACAGCATTAGATTGGGCAAGTTCACTGCCTCTTTGGTTGAGAGTTCCTCTAATTTTCCTCTCCACTTTGAGAGCCATATTGAGAACCTTCTCTATGTCCGGAATGGGATCCATCACTAGAACTCCAGACTTAATAGTCTCATATTTTTCGTTCAGACTTTCCAGGAATCTGATTATTTGATCTTCCCTCTCTTTACTTCTGCATTCGACTAACAAGAGTGCACGAGCATCTTGGTACACACTCACACAACAACAGAGGCCTCAGAGAGTTCATTTGCTGCCATAGAGCATTGCTCATTGTGAAGTATTCGTTCACCGTCATGCATCCTTAAACAACCTTGAATACCTCATTCTGGATTTCAGCAATTTTATGAGGATCCGACTGGGAGTACCTCTTCTCAAGTGCTTTCCAAATATCAGATGCTTTATCAAAATACATAACACTGTCTGCAATTCCAGGGCTAATCGATCGAAGGATCCACGAGGAAACAATACAATTGCATCTCCTCCATGATGCTATCCTAGGATCGGCTTCATCTGGAATCGGAATCGCATCAGTTGCGAATCCAAATTTATTCTTCACTTCCAAAGCGATCCTCATCGATCTGCCCCAGGAAGCGTAATTAAGCTCGGTTAATGGCGGAGAGACCAAACTCAAGTTCAGATTCTCCGTCATGTGGAGATACAAAGGATCATCAAACTCTTCCACCCCCTGATTAGGGTTCGTTGCCATCTGATTTGAAGATCCTGCCGCATTCTCCATCGGATTATTGTTTCCAGCTTCTTCCATCATGACGGCGGCAGCGTAGGTGCGATTCCGCTCTGATGCCATGATGAGTTGTGCAAAAAACACACTAAAGTAAACATTGAAAAGATGAATGAAAGATCTGGTAATTCAATGTGATAGTATTCATGCTTACAATGCTGAGAAAGGAAAAAGAAGTTAAGAAGAAGAAGAAAAGCAGTCAACACTGATTTTTATTTCAAGTGTAACTAACTAAGGATTAGAAAAAGACAAGTATGCCCCTATTTATTTCATCAACTGCTAATATGTGGTGATTGGTAGGGTTTGTTGACGCAAGAGGATGGAACACGTACGCATGGGGCCGTTCAAACTGCTTTGCCAGTGGTCTCAGTTGGTATGCTACATGTGTATGTTGATGCAGCAGTTTTCAATGAAGTGGATAATGCTTATTATGGTATTTTTATGCAGAATGAGAATGGTGATTATGTTGCTATGAAAAAATGGGCATCTACAATGTTTAAATGACCCTCACCTACCCGAAGCCCTGACTGTAAAGGAAGCTCTATTTTGGGTTAAAGATCGGGGATTCACTAAGGTGGCTATTTTTTCAGATTGCCAAATAGTTTGTCGGCTCTTAAATGGTAACTCTCAAGACCTCTCGTATGCAGGATGTGTGATTCAGGAGTACCGGGTTTATCAAAGACTCTTTGAAGCAGTGTCCTTTCAGTTTCTGTCAAGATCAATGAATAAGTTTGCTCATGCATTAGCCCGAGCGACTCCTTCTCAAACTGGTTCTCTTACTTGGTTGCTTTTAGTTCCTTATTGTATTCAACATTTGTTTTAATGAAGCTTTTATTCCTTTAAAAAAAAAAAAGAGTTATATGTATCCCTACTTGTAAAATCAACAAGTGGTGATCCACCCGATTGTGTTTGTAGAAACCTTATACCATCTGCCACAAAAACACTACTCTTCTTCAAATCCTTTAGATAAGAAAGATGATTCGTAGACATTGTTCTATGTGACCGTAGAAGATAACTCTTGCTCGGGGGAACCAAATCATGATTATGTAACTTCTCATGCTTTGAAATAGTCCACATCTCATTTCCATCTAAATCAAATTGAACAAATGCGCAGCAACCTGTTCGAACATCAACTTTTGAATAACAACCCTTCTCTAAATTCCTTTTAAATCCAACCTTCGAACAATAAAACTTCTTCATCTTCAATGTTTTTGTAGCAGCACTATATCTTTGCTTACCCCTCCTCACACTAAAACCTAATCTAAAAGCATAGTCATTGTAAATCTCATATGCTTCGTCAATAGAACTCTCTGACAACCCAAACAAATCCTGATCATCTGTAAATCACAAAGTTTAAGTACCCCTCAGATAAATGTACAGAATCCGTGGCCAGAATACACATAAAGTCAAAACACAAAGCACATAAACACATCACAACATACACAGAACTCATCTTAGTGTTTAGACTACTCTAATGGTTAACATACAGAATCCATTACCATAATACACATAAATCATAACCATAATGTACAGAAAATAATAACACTAGATACATAAACTCATCACAACATACACACAACTCATCTTACACTACTCAAGTGATTATCATACAGAATTAATCACTATAATATACATAATTCATGACCATGATGTACAGAAACTGAAAACACCATATACAAAAACTCATCAGAAAATACGCACCTTCCATACAAACACAATCAAACTAAATTTTCAACAGCAATCCTAGAAAAATTCTAAGATAATTCAATCAACGAATATCACATACGAATTCAATTATTTTGCATCAACAACGAAAAATAAAAAAACAAGCGAAAATCAATATAGAAAAACCTGGAGTAGCATCCGCTATAACTGCCAATCCCACCGGAGCATTGCCGTCGTCTGTCACTGCCAACTCCTGTTGTGCAATCACCTCATCCATGTCGCAGTGTTCTGAAAATCCACTAGATACGGAAGAGAGAGCAAATCGCGAAGATCAGATCGAGAGAGAAAACCGTCAATTTGAACAATGCGAAGGAAATACGAACCAAGTAATTTTAATTTTTTTTTTTAAATTAACGGCAGAAACTGGAAACGAGATTTAAAAAAAAAAAAAACAAAAACCGTTAATTAAAAGGTACAAAACGACGTCGTTTTGGGCCAGGGAGCACAATGCATTGTGCACCCTGGTCCATGATATAATTTGCTTCGAACCACAGGGTATTTGGCATGCTGGTTAATGATTAGTTGAATTGTGAATATTGAGGTTTTTCTAATTAGATGGATTGTATTGGTCTTAGGCTCAGTTTAATGACTTCTATTGTAACTGCTTATTCTGTTTTTATTACTTCATGAGAAAACTACACTTTTTACCCATAAGTTATATGATAATTGTATAATTCGTCTCTATTTATTGATCGTGATCACTTTTCATCCTTAAGCTATAATTGATATTGCAAATTTTGTCATTTAATAATTCGTCTCACTTTTCGTCTCTAAGTTATACAACGTTGCAAATTTCGTCTATAATGTTTTGTTAGTAAAGAGATGAAATTTGCAACGTCAATTATAGTTTAGGGACGAAAAGTGAGTACGATCAATAATTAAGGACAAAATTTGCAATTACCCTATAACTTAAGGATGAAAAGTGAATTTTTTTTTTTACTGTGTTTGTTAGGTTTGCAGAAAGAGCTTACAATTTTCTGAAAGCTGTTTGGTGTTGCCATTTTAAGGGGTATATCCAAATATTTTGAGATTAGACTTTTGAAAGCGGATAAAATGCTGCAACTTCCAATAAGAAAAAGTTACTTTAAGTTGTTTAATTAAAGTATCCAAATTTCTTAATATATATATATATATATATATATATATATATATATATATATATATTCTTCCAGAAGGTTGAAGCCCAACCCTAAATATATATAGAGCGTTGGTAGTTTTGAAGTTATAAAGACAATTGTTGACTCTAAAATGAATTGTCAAACCATTAGTGGCAAAAACCATGTCCCAATCATAGAAGATATCATAATCCAAATGTGATTAGGATTAATAACCTATTCATACTCAAACTAAGGTTATATTGATCCTATAAAAGAAGCCACTCTCAATCACAAGACTTCAAGCTTTCATCACCTAACTGTGAGCACGAGAGTCATTGAGAAGAGATACCCAAACCCCCTTGAAAAGTAGTACAAGTGTTTAGGTCACAATAGTTGGATAGGATATCATATTGTGTAATTTCCGTTCCCTAAACCAAGTGTACTTAAATATCAAGCTTTTAGTGGATTTAGGCAAATTCTCAACTTGAGAAGTGCCTCGCAGTTTAGGGTTGTTTGCCCAAACTGTGTTATAAATTAATTGTGTCACAACGCCAGTTTCAACACTACCGAATCCATCGTCTATATTAATTCCAATTGGTATCAGAGCGGGTCTGCTCAAGTTACTAGCAGGATCCAAATGGAATTCCCAAGAGAAGGTCTTTCAAACAATATACCACCGGCTCTACTTGGCACAAACTTCTCCTACTGGAAAGCTCGAATGCAGATATACATTTTAGCACAAGGAGAAGGCGTCTGGAATGCAATAGAAAACGAATGGAAAACTCCAATCGATGACAAAGGGAATGCAAAACCTAGAATTGAATGGAGGGAAGAAGAGAGAACTGAATATGACTTCAACTCAAAGGTTATGAATGCAATATATGGAGCAGTGAGCGAAGACACATTTAAACTAATTGCATCAACTCGCATAGCCAAAACTGCGTGGAGTATATTGTGCGATCATCATGAGGGAAACTCAACTGTAAGACAATCTAAGCTACAAATGATACAAACAGAATTTGAAAATCTGAAAATGGAAGAAGAAGAAAGCATTACTCAATTCAGTGCCAGAGTTTTAAGTATAACTGGAGATGCATTCAATCTAGGCGAACCTATACCCGAACATAGGATCGTCAAAAAGGTACTGCGCTCGCTACCTGGAAGATTCCTAATGAAAGTCACCGCTATTCAAGAAAATAAAGATCTGAATACATACAGACTTAGTGATCTAATGGGAAATCTTCAAACCTATGAACTTGAGATGCTACAAAATCAGAAAAACGATGGCAAAGGAATAGCATTACAATCAAGACAAGAAGAGAACTCAGAAACAGACTCAGAAACCATGGAACAATCAATTGCACTATTGACAAAGAATTTTAATAGAGTTCTCAAAAGGTTTAACAAGTCCAGAAATAAAAATTCCTCAAACAACCAAGGAAATTCTATAGTCAATCAAAAACAGTCCAATCCAAAACGAAGAGATAATACAATTACCGAAGGGATACAATGCTATGAATGCAAAGGCTTTGGACACATTCAATCAGAATGTGCCACATACTTGAAAAGGAAAAATAAAACATATATAACAACTCTGAGCGATGACTCAGATAGTGAAGAAGATGACAGCAACACAAACTTCGTAGCCTTCACTGCTAGTCATGAAGACAACAATAGTGATGACATGCAAGAGTTACTAGAGGCATACACCCAACTAAATGCCAAGTGGGAGCAGATCATCAAGAAAAATTTAGAACTCATGGAAGACAATCATTATTTAAAAAATGAAAAAGAATGGGTAGAAAAACAATACAAAGAAGCTCAAAATGAACTAATAGACTTCAAAAACAAAGAAGCTAAACTACTACAAGAAATCAAGGAGCTTACCGAAAGACCCAGGACTCCAAGCACAGACATTAGTGAGAATCATCAAACCGAGACACAAGAAGTGTCACAACAGCACTTCCGACACCGAAGAAGAATAAGGTGCTACTATTGCCACAAACTAGGACACATCAAAGCACACTGCTACAAAAGACAAAATGACTCTTACTACAGGAAAAACAACAGATCATGGTCATCACATAACAGAAATAATAGCAAGAAAATCTGGGTAAGAAAAGATCAAAATGTTGCGTATACCTCCAAAACAAACAAAGAGCAAGACATATGGTATTTTGACAGCGGATGCTCCAGGCATATGACTGGAAATCCAGAAAATTTAGAGAATCTACAATATAAAAATGAAGGATATGTAACCTTTGGAGATGGAGGAAAAGGGAAAATCATCGCAAATGGAACCCTGAACGTACATGGGCTGCCAAAACTGTCAAAAGTCTTCTTAGTACAAGGATTAAAAGCAAACCTGATTAGTATAAGCCAACTATGTGAAGATGAACTTAAAGTGGAATTCTCAAAAGATAGTTGCAATGTTCTCAATCAAAATCATGAATGTGTTATGATCGGAAGAAAATCCACAAATAAATGCTACACATGGGACAATGATCTAACTTGCCTACAGACAACCGTCAATCAAACACAATTATGGCACCAACGGATGGGTCACATAAATTTTCATGACATGAAAAAAGGTTTAAAGAAAGGAGTCTATCGAGGAGTTCCAATACTCGACATAGACGAAAACAAAAAATGTGATGCATGTCTTGAAAACAAAATAACACGAACAGCCCACAAAAGAAGCTCAGGAATACACACTTCTAGAATCCTAGAACTACTCCACATGAACCTATTTGGGCCAACCCAAACAGAAAGCATAGGAGGGAAGAGATATGTCTATGTAACAGTCGATGACTTTTCACGATTCACATGGGTGAATTTTCTTAGAGAAAAATCTGAAGCATTCACAATATTCAAAACTCTCATTATCAAAATTTAGAATGAAAAAGACGGAAGAATAGGAAAAATCATTCGTCTAAGAAGTGATCATGGAAGGGAGTTCGAGAACTCAAAATTCAAGGAATACTGCGCAGAAAATGGGATTCATCATGAGTTCTCCGCACCAAAAACACCCCAACAAAATGGAGTAGTCGAACGGAAAAATCGAACTATCCAAGAAATGGCAAGGGTTCTCCTAAATCACAAAAGACTTCCATCAAAATTCTGGGCAGAAGCAGTTAATACAGCATGCTACTTGATAAATCGAGTATTCATACGAAAAGAAACCAACATGACACCATATCAAATCTGGAAAGGAAAATCACCAAATCTAAAACACACACATGTGTTTGGAAGTAAATGCTATATTCTAAAAGATAGAGAACCATTGGGAAAATTTGACATCAAAGGGGATGAAGGGATTTTTCTAGGATACTCCTCAAACAGCAGGGCATATCGAGTATTTAACCTTAGGACAGACACAGTAATGGAATCTATCAATGTTGTGGTCAATGACACAACAACAGAAGATCCCTCCACCAATGATGAAGAGGTAACTGTTGTTGAAACAACAGTTCCAACATCGCAAAATCAGAAATCTAAAACAGACTCAACAGAGAAAGAAGAAGTTGATAACCCTGAAGAAAAAGAAGAAATCCTCACCACTGATGAGACCAGGGTACAGAAAAATCATCCAATAGAAAACATTATAGGAGGACTAAATGAAGGAATCAGAACAAGAGGAAAGAAATGAGACTATCAAAAAATGGAAGAAGGAGACTATGACTACTGCTACACCTCAAAAATTGAACCCAAAAACATCACGGAAGCCTTAAAAGATGAATTTTGGGTGGGAGCCATGCATGAGGAGTTACAACAATTTGAAAGAAACAACGTCTGGCAGTTAGTCACCAAACCAGAGAATGCCAATATCATAGGGACAAAATGGATCTACAAAAATAAAACAGACGAACAAGGGAACATTATACGAAACAAAGCCCGACTAGTAGCACAAGGATACACCCAAGTTGAAGGAACATATTTTGAGGAAACATTTGCCCCAGTAGTCAGAATAGAATCAATCAGGCTTCTCATAGCAGTAGCCTGCATACTCAAGATAAAACTCTACCAAATGGACGTAAAAACGGCATTCTTAAATGGATATCTAAAAGAAGAAGTCTATGTTGCTCAACCAAAAGGGTTTGAAGACCCCCATTTTCCACAAAGTGTTTTTAAACTCAACAAAGCACTATATGGACTAAAACAAGCACCACGGGCTTGGTACGAACGTCTCACTGAATTCCTAGTCAAAAAGGGCTACAAAAGAGGTAGCGTGGACAAAACTCCATTCGTCAAGCACTATGGTCAAGACATAGTTATTGCCCAAATCTATGTTGATGACATAGTATTTGGCTCAACACTTGAGGACCACAAAAACCAATTCATCACTAACATGGAAGGAGAATTTGAGATGAGCATGGTTGGAGAACTAACCTACTTTCTAGGTCTACAAATCAAACAACAAGACAGTGGGATCTTTATATCACAAAGCATATATGCAAAAAATCTAGTTAAGAGATTCGGACTAGAAGAAAGCAAAGTTGTCAGAACACCAGTTCCAACAACAGAAAAAATCTCAAAAGATATAGAAGGAAAACAAGTTGAGCAAACCTTATATCGAAGTATGATAGGAGGACTACTATATCTAACTGCTAGTAGACCAGATTTAAGCTTTGGAGTAGGAATATGCGCAAGATATCAAGCAAATCCTACTGAACAACATTTAAAAGCAGTAAAAAGAGTCATTAAATACGTTAAAGGAACCACCGAATTAGGCTTATGGTATTCCTTCGACACCAATCATCACTTATCAGCCTATTGTTATGCCGATTGGGCAGGAAATGTAAATGACAGAAAAAGCACCTCAGGAGGTTGTTTCTTTCTAGGAACAAATCTCGTATCTTGGATAAGCAAAAAACAAAGCTCTATATCATTATCAACAGCAGAGGCAGAATACATTGCAGCCGGAAGCTGTTGCACACAACTACTTTGGATGAAACAGATGCTAGAAGATTATGGAATACATCAGACAACTATGACCATACACTGTGATAACAAAAATGCAATAGACATCTCCAAAAACCCAGTACAACACTCAAGAACAAAACACATCGACATCAGACATCATTTTATACGAGAGTTAGTTGAAAACGAAATTATCAATCTCACACATATCAACACAGAAAATCAACTTGCAGATATACTAACAAAGGCACTTGATAGATCTAGATATGCAAAACTAAGAGCCGAATTGGGACTTTGTATTTTATGAACAAGTACATGGGTCATTTTATTTATTTTTTTTTAGAAAAACACTATATTGTTTAAGCATGATCCATACCATCATCCTTAAGGAGATCGCATGGATCCCCCTTCAAAAGGCCCATACCCGGTCCACCTCTGAAAAGCCCAGAACCTGGTCCACTTCTAGAAAACCCCAAATCTAATAACATATCAGGCACACCCGATTGCAATCTCTCACCCACAATCACTTTTACGATCATCCTCTACACCCAACGACAGAGCAACAATGGTGAGAACGAGAAATCAAAGGCAAGGAAAATTACCTCGGAGAGGAACCAACTCACAGCACGCCGGCACCGGAGTTCCATCAAACCCGGTATGCATCGAAGAAGAGGACACAACCACCATCATCATGGACCCGGTTCCCATCTCGCAAGTTCCATTCGAAGAAATTCAAGAATGTCAAAACCCTAATCCAGGTAATTTTACAGTTGATTTACATGGAGATCTTACGATTTCTCCATCCATTGAGGATGAATTGAGGGAAAATGCAAATTCTACCCAAGAAGAAGGCGAACAACACGCTGTAGACCCCTCACCTCCACCTACTCTATCCGACAGAGAACAGAGAAAACTGAAGAGGGCTGAACCCTACGAAGGGGCAGACCCCAGAGCAAAACGGCCCAATGACTTTCCAATTTCTACTAGACCTCCCCCAAGAACTCCCAACATACCCCCCCCCCCCCCCCCCCCCCCCAAGACAGAGTAATTCAAAGAAGCAAAAAGAAAAAATTATAGAAAAAGAACAAGATTGGACTCCTGATGATTTAAGAGAGGAAACAGAATGTAGGGAAGAAGTCTCAGAAAAGAAGAAAACGAAATTGACTGCAAAGGAAAAGGGAAAACAGAAAGTCCTTAGAGATACTGAGAAAAAGAAATTACCTACTAGGGATAAAGGGAAACAAAAGGTAGTTAGTGATGCTGACCTGTCAAAACTACCAAAGCCTTATAGTCCAAAATTCTTGACAAACGAAAATGCCAAAGAATGGAACAAAATCATGGATAAAAAGGTCATAAGTCAAAAGCTTTTAATACTAGACAGGCTAGAAAATTGTGAACAAATCACTGAGGTGTTAACAAAAACAAACCTCTTAGGATCAGTCATCAATATTGACCCTTATGAGGAACAGGTTGTGAAAGAATTCTACTGCAATCTCACCAAAGGCACATCATCTCCCAACAACCCTAGGTATGAAAAGGCATATCTAAGGGGGAAATTCTATGATTTCACTCAGGAAATCATCAATGCTCAACTAGGAACACCCAGTGAAGAACAGAATATTCAACTAGAGAATGAACAGGTCATCCAAGAACTTACAGCTGGGAACGTGAATTTTGATAAAAACAAAATCAAAGCTCCCTCGCTAACACGCAAATATGCGATACTACAGAAAATTGCTCTTGTGAATTGGATGCCCTCTCTACACGAAACAACAGTCAAAAGGAGTTTGGCAGAGCTACTGTACAAAATAGGAAAGGGAATCCAGGTCAACATTGGAAATATTGTGTATTCACAGATCTCAAAGTTGGCAGAAAGTAGTGAGTCAAAGGCTTCGCTCATTTTTCCAAATCTGATCCACGCTATCCTATACAAGCAAGGGCTGAAGACACGTGGACCAAAAACACAAGTCAAGACCATAAACACAACCAAAAAACTGAAGAAGGGGAGTCATCAAAATGATCTCAAAGCCTCTTTTCCAACTGATAATCCAACTGACCAACAAACCTTGATCAAGTACTTTGAGAAAAAGTCAAAAGAATTGGATGATGCAGAAAAATAATTGTTACGAAAACACATGGAAATCAAAGAAGAAAAAGCTGAAGTTCTACAATGGTTGAAAGCTCTAAAAACTGAAAGAAATGAAGAAAACAGTGATGATGATGAAGAAGAAAAGACTGAAAATGAAGAAGAAAATCAGGAAAATGATGAAGAAGAGAATGAAGAAGAAGATGATGAAGAAGAAGATGGTCAGGCAGAACATGGTGAAACATCTACCTAGCATTCACAAACTTTAGCAAAAAAGGGGGAGAGTAGTGATGATATCTATCTGGACTTGAGTTTGTTCACTGGAATTTTGGATGATCTATCTAGACTGAAGTTTTTGTTCAGTTCCTTTTTTATAACTGTTGTGATTCACTGGATATCTGGACTGGAGTTTGCTCACTGGAATCATCAATCTGGACTGAAGCTTGTTCACTGGAATTTTGAATGATCTATCTAGACTGAAGTTTTGTTCAGTTCCTTTTTTGATAACTGTTGGTTAGTGATGACAATGATAATCTATCTGGACTGGAGTTTGTTTTTTTTTTGGATAGCTGATTTGTGGATAATTGGTTGTGACAGTCCTTGTGACTATTTTTAAAGATCAAAAACAGTGGAGCTGAGCTAATCTATTCTTGGCAACTATTGGACAGTAATCTATCTAGGTTGAATAGTCTTTGCAACTGTTCTCTTTTTGCTGATCAAAAAGATTAGAGATAAACAACTAACAGAAAGTTCTTGACTGTCCTTGTTGAGACTGGTTTGTTTTTTTCCCACTGGTTTTTGATTAAAACTGACCACACTGTGTTGTAATAGTCCCAACAAAAAATTAAAACAAGAAGAAGACACATCAAGACTGAGATGAAACTAAGGGGGAGACATGACAAGAAACAAGCTTCTCTAAGGATCAAAATTTTTGCAAAAGTTTGACAAAGGGGGAGAGTGTTGACTCTAAAATGAATTGTCAAACCATTAGTGGCAAAAACCATGTCCCAATCATAGAAGATATCATAATCCAAATGTGATTAGGATTAATAACCTATTCATACTCAAACTAAGGTTATATTGATCCTATAAAAGAAGCCACTCTCAATCACAAGACTTCAAGCTTTCATCACCTAACTGTGAGCACGAGAGTCATTGAGAAGAGATACCCAAACCCCCTTGAAAAGTAGTACAAGTGTTTAGGTCACAATAGTTGGATAGGATATCATATTGTGTAATTTCCGTTCCCTAAACCAAGTGTACTTTAAATATCAAACTTTTAGTGGATTTAGACAAATTCTCAACTTGAGAAGTGCCTCGCAGTTTAGGGTTGTTTGCCCAAACTGCGTTATAAATTAATTGTGTCACAACGCCAGTTTCAACACTACCGAATCCATCGTCTATATTAATTCCAACAATATATATTATATTAGTAATTTTGAGCAATTAACTTCTTTTAATAATTGAATTTATTGTCACTGACAATTCATTGTAATCTATAAATTTGAATGAGCGATGCTCTGTTTGGTTGCAGCAGATAGCAGTTTGGGGTGTTTCTGTATAAATCCTGATGGGATTAATGATATGCAGTGATAGTGATACATTCCATCCCTGTCACTGATAATTCTTTATTAATTTTTGTTTTGTTGGTTGCAGCAGTTCCGTGTAACTGAGTGGGTGAAGAGAGAGCAAATGGAGCAAGCTAAGTGTTACCATCAACTCATCAATAATACTCAAGTTTCTTTTTCCCCTTGGATAGGAGTCTACTCTTCCAAAGTGGCCAATGGTTTTTGTAGTTCGTTGTTGTGGGTTTGTTGGTGTAATGAATTTGGGTGAATACGTATAGTAGTGTGTTGCATCATAAAGTATATATTATGGTTTGTGCATGGTTGAATATAATTGTGGTATAAAATTGGCGTTATTTTTTCGTCTCATCTCAACTCATCTTTCCAACTAAACGCAGAGAGTGCACTTGCGCTGCCTTAATCACGAGACAAGAGATGGAAATTGAATTATGAGAAAATTGTAATTTATGGCCTCACAAATAAGTCAATTATTAATGACATTTCTGAATTATTAGTGGTGTAAATGTTGCCCCTCAATTTTCAAAACGTAATATATACGGTCCATCTTCTGAATTATTAATGGTCTAAATGTGGTTACTCGTCGTTTTTCTTTTTCGAAGACCATGCTTTTTTTGTCCATTTTTCTTTCTTCGTTTGTTTTCCTTTCGCCCACAGTAATATTTCTCATTCTTCCTATTAGGAGAGGGTAATATATGTCATGTTTTGAAAATTGAGAAGCAACATTTTACACCATTATAATTCAGGGATGACATTTATATTTGAGATATTTGTGAGGGGCATATATTACAATTTTCCCTTGAATTATATTAATTAGCCACTACGCTCTGCTGCTGGCAGGAAATTGCCCCAACCATGTGCTCTTTTTTTTTTTCTTTTTTTTTTTTTTTTGGTAATGAAACAAAATTATGTATTAAGTTAATGAATGTCAACTATGCACATGATGGGCATAATATAATAATGAGGTATTTTAGCCTCACTTGTTTCTTCCAAATCATACATAGAAAATTTGATCCCTCTTCTTATTAAATGAGCGCCAATGTTCCAACAGATCTGTTTGGCGTCCAACAACAAAATCCACAGCCATACAATACAAAAATCCTTAGCAGCAACAAGCAAGGAGGAAGAAGATGAAGTAGTGCCGCCACCATCTGTTTTCTTCAAGGACTCAATTACCGCCATGTGGAGATAAGCTTAGCTATCTGGTTGTGGTGATAAGCTGAAGAGAGACTAGTGGGATTTCTTAATGCTGCTTTAATTTAGGTATTCTTCTTCTTCTTCTTCTTCTTCTTCTTCCTCCTCTTATTTACATAAAGAGCTACAAACTTCAATTAGCAAAGAATCATACTCTTACGGCAATTCAATTCTAATTGTAACAATTTATCGAACACATAACTTACAAAGTCGATCTTCTTCCAGTGTTTTGCAAAGCGAGATTGAAATTGTGAGTATGTAGTATGTCTAATTGCATGTCCTATTCTTATAGCTACACACAATTCCAAAGATTCTCAAGCATAATTCAACCCTAAATGATACAAGAGATCAAATTATAGCTTACTCACAACAACAACCATAGCTAATTCAATACATACTCTTTTTATGCAATTGAAATCATAGAAACATCTATAATAAGAGCAAACGTAATTCAAATCTTAGGCTTCGTTTGGAAATCAGGAAAATGACTTCTGAAAAATGACTTATTTTTAATTATTATTATTATTATTTTAATTAATTTATAATAAATAATATTTTTAATAAAAAAAATAAAATAAACACACGTGTCAACACCGTATGCATTTAACCTGATAAACAAGTCAACTTGGACTTAATTGAACAATTTTACAGGTTTAGGAGACCTGAATGAAACTTTTTTTCACTTACCCAATTGCACTATCCACTCGACTTAGGGGGGCAATTTGACACTTTTTTCTATTATTTATAAAAGCCCGCGGGCTGGGCTGGGCCCGCCAACCCACATGGGGCGGGCTATGATTGCATGGACCCTAGTTTGTGGGCTTGGTGGGCCGGATTGCAAAAGCCCGCTAGAAATTAAGCCCAACAAATTTTGCATGTGCATCTCTTGGAAAATGACTTCCCCAAAAGAAAGGGGAAGTTATTTTCCCCCATATCATACTTATTTTCCTTTGACTAATGCATCATTTCCACCCTCTTGCCAAACTCTGGATATCCGAAAAACATTTTTCAGAAATCATTTTATGAGTTTCCAAACGCACCCTTAGAGAAAATCTATCTATTAATGATTAGATTTGTAAAGTAAAGGCACAATGGAATTGCATGTATTGAAAACACAAGTAAAATTGAAGGAATTGAAATGTAAGTAATGAAAACTTAACTATGATCTAATGCAAATTCAAGATACAAGCTTGAATTTAAATTGGAATAAATCGAATTGCAATATTGACGAACTCTAGTGTAACATAATACAACTTTATTCTAAGTGGAGAGAAGTTAGAGAATGAAAAGTCCATAAAAATAACTACCAATTTCCTTTTTATAATTGATGGAATCACCCCTACTTATAAAATATTGGCCTGATCCACACTCAAAGTCACATCATGACGTTGGTTGTGATTTCCATACTTTGTGCAAAAATTATGATCTCTAAACTAATTTTCACCTTATAGAAGTTTGAATTAGATTTTGCAATCTTCACAAAAGTTTTAATAACTCTTTGAATTAGCTTTCGAATGCCATTAAAATCGCATGATTTGGATATTCCTATACTAAAATATTATCAAAATATCGAAACGTTAGGATGATCTTTACGGGCATGATTGTCAGCCTTACCCTTGTTGCTCACTCTACCATTCTTTTTTCTTAATTTCCTTTGACTTTTTGAGTCCCCGGGTCATGTCGCAGTACTTCTAACTCGACCTTTTTTACTTTTATTTTAAACCTCTCACGATTCTCGAAACGTGTTTATGTGCCAATATAGTTTACTTGAGATCTAAGACTTACAACGTTATGATTACGGGATGTTGCCTTAATGGCTTAGTGCTCACTTGTCCATGTCTAATGTCTTGGCCACACGTTTAGTATTCTATCACCTCTATCTTTTTATAATAGCATACTAAGCGATATAATAACAAAAGGTTTTAAATAACCTCCTCAATTTTAGGGACTATTTCTCATTTTGTGTATATTTTGAAGGGTCTACCGTTCTACACTAATTTGTGCATCTATTTAATCCTAGATATGTTATTGCTCATGTTTTTCAAAAATCAATCAAACATAAAAAATACAATATTTTCTTTTAACGGAATAAATAATGTCTAATTTCTAACATTAAATCAAATTAAACACTAAAAAATGTATATTTTTTTTTAAAAAGTAATTATTTTTTAAAAATTATTTTTCCTCCTATTTCCAAGCTCACCCTTATTCATATGTATTCATGAACCTGATCTACAATCTCCACTTAATTTTTGTT